AAAAATTATTTTTTTATTTTGTACAAACAAAATAAATATATTGAAAAATATAAAAACAATAAAAAATTATACTTCAGATGTTAATTTAGTATCAAAAACGTAAAATATTTGAGTAGCCCAAGACATAGCCAAAGATTGAAGCACCACAGCACTGGCAAAAATTTAAATTTGTCGACTAGAATTCTTTTGGATGATTGACGTTTCGGATGATTGACTTTCGGAAAATCGACGCTCTACTATATATATATATATATGTATATGTGTGTATGTATATTTATATATATATATGCATATATAAATCAAAATCTTATTACAACAATAGCCTCTGTATAACAATACTATTATTCTGGTCCCCAAAATATTACATGCATATATTATATATATGCATGGAAGATTTTTCAGTGTTTTGTATTGCCTAGTTAAGGTTACTTAAGCCTAACTATATTGGTATAAGTTTTATTTATATCTATTTACAGTCAAACCTCACTTGGGGATCATGAACATAGTATTATTATACAGGGACTATTATTGTAACATGATTTTGAAATTTAAAGATGGAGAATATGAAGTAAAGATTAGTTTAAATACATTCTGTGCCTACATCTCAGTAAACCAACAGAATGTTACACTATTGATATCATAATTAGGTGTCTTCAGATGTTTCAAAGGTTCTAAGCTTACAACACTGAATTTCCTTCCATTTCTTTAAAAACATTGCTAGGGTTGACTGAGCGAAGCAAAGCCATACTTTTTTATAACTTCTGTTTGTTTCATTCCACTATCAATATCTTTGAAAGCTTCATTTCCAAACTTATCTGTTTCCGTATTTTTGCCATTTTTTCCACTACAAGCTGGTACTACTACTTTCTTGGCCACTAGTCAGAACTCTCGTCTGGCAGAAAAAGAAAATGTTTCATGATTGGTCAAGCATTTGCAGTTCCTTGGCTTGGCTGAGTCAGTGATGATAATTGCAATGTCGCCAATTAGCTAGTTATGGACAAACCATTCTGGAGTGCAGGGAATGTCATAGGTGCTCCTAGCTCTTCGCCATGCAGTTCCTGCATTTGTCAGCATTCAAATTGGCCATGGTTCCTGACAGTCATATTGTTGTATTTCTACTATCATTATAGCAGTTGATAAATCACAGTATTTTTATAGGACTTTGGCCAAGACTATAAAAGTTCTATCATTGTACTTGGATTTATCATTGTAATGGGTATTATTTTATATAGGTTAGACTGTATATAAAAGTCAAAATATATATGTTTATACATAGGTAAAAGCATTCATACTCACTGCGTTTCATAGCTATTAGCCTTAATTATTGCTAATCAAACTTTACCTACGTGCACCGTCATGGCCGCACAGCGGTGACCCACGTTCTAACCTAACCTAACCTAACCTATTCTACTTCTAATAAATTACCAAATTAGTAATTTATTAGAATAGGTTAAGTTATAACGTCGGTCGGTCCCCACTGTGCGGCCATGACGATGCAGGTAGGTAAAGTATAACCTCAAACTTTAACATAAACATTCGTTCATACCTTTTACGTATCGTCCATCAAAATATCTTTCTGTTACTGTAGGCAAATCGTTTAAGATACGCTTCGAGCGCAAAACCGATTCAAAATCCACAGCATCCACCATCTCATTACTTACAGCGCTCCCTTTTGACGAGTAATTTCGTTATTTTTGGTCGTCTGCTATCGAAAAATTCGTCTATAGTACATTTCACTCTAATAAAAGGGGAATTCATGGGAAAAGAGTTATTTTTATTTCAGGTTTAAATCTAATTATTTTGCAGAATAAAGAAAATATTTATTCAAATGATAAACCATTTCCATTGTTAAGGTTAAAGCCAACATGGACGACGCGATGGCCGGATGGCCAGCAGTTAAGGTGGCAGCCTATCGTTTCGTCCTATTGTGGGCCTTGCCGAACCTGTAATGGGCTTGCTAAAACAAAGCACCGTTACTGCCCACAGGTCTAAAAGATTCTTAAATATAAACGCCAATTTGGAATTTTATCTCTAATACCTCACACTACACGTTAATGGTGACTGGATGGCCGAGCGTCAAGGTGGCAGCCTATATCTTTTTTTTTATTTATTTTATATCTTTTTTTTTATTTATATTATTTTTTTTATTTATTTTATTTATTGCTCTGGGGGACGAATCCGAACGGGCTGAAAAATCCCCACGAATTTTTCGGGGTGGTCCGTTCGGATGTGTCGGGCTCCGTCCCTCACCACCTGGCAGCCCCATTATGGGCCTGGCCGAACCCATAATGGGCTTGCAAAAAGAGGCTGTCTTAGTGCCCACAGGGCGGAAAGAGTTAAAAATAATAATAATAACCGTTACTTCGTTAATCCCGGTTTAAACTACGCGACAAAACTCTTCGATGTCAGTTTCTGACATCCTAATGTTTTGATTACGATTTGACACTCATGGGTGGACGAGATTTTTTCAAACAGCAGGAAAATATATGGGTCATGGCTGAAGTCTATGAATATAAAGAAAGCAGTCCTACTGGCTTCTCTGAAAGCTTCCTGACTGCTCCATCCGCCCCTATCTATATTCAAATCTTAATTCCACTTGCACGTTTACAGACGTAACGGCATAAAATGGAAGCAATCTCATAAGCATGGATGGCGAACCTATGGTACGTGTGCTCGAAGTGACACGTCGGAATAAATCATCCTGCACGTAACGTAACATGCGATTACGGTTTATCATCTGACTGTCCTTTTTCCAATCAGTTTCTTTGCATTTATTCTAATTAAAGCATATTCCTTTCGTTTCTTTAACTACGTCGTCAAACTCATATTTGTGTTGTATGGACAATAGATTCGGCAAGGTATTCAAACATTCTCATTAGTTATATCAATGTAGCATAGATACGAAATATTTGAATTTCATATAAATCGTCACGTTTATATTTCGACTAGCAGACCCCGCCACGCGTTGTTGTGGCTCAAAATGTATCTATTATAAATGTATAACACTTTCCCCATGGGGGAAATTTTTCGAAAAATCCTTTCTTGGTGTACATTCTCTTGACGTACCCTATTAAAATGCAATCAAAAACTCAAAAAACCGCATCTAAAATAGTTTAGTATAATAGAAGCCATGTTCTTCACGGTAAGCCTTAATCTTGTCCTGTCCCCCGTGGGGGAATAACGAAAAATCCCTTTTTAGTGTATATTCTGTTGACGTATCTTATTAAAACGCAATCAAAAACGCAAAAAACTGCATCAAAAATAGCATAATAGAAGCAGAGTTCTTTACGGTAAGCCTTAATCCTAACCGTCTCCTCCTAGTGGGGAGAATTTCGACATGTATATTATATAAAAACACGTGCATATTCGAATACAACGTAGTGTCAAAATTTCAAAAAAATCGGTAGGAACAAACCAGTGGCGTACCGTGGGTGTCAGCCGCCCGGGGCGGAGGAAATTTTCGCCTTCCCCCTTATTTAGGTATTTCAATTTAAAATACCAAAATTCAGTATTGTCACAGAACAAGCAATGAAAAATTCGGTGGTAGTGCAGCGACCTGTTTAAAATAGTTCTATTGGATATTAGTGGTGTATATGAACGCGAATGAATCGTACACGCAAAAAAAGAAAAAGATAAAAAATAAAAATAAGAAAGATCAACACGTTTCGCAGGATTTTCTCGGATGAAAACCTTACTAGTTTACCCGGATGGCGAGCCGATTCCCAGACTGTCCGGACGATAGCACTATCGTAGGCGCGATGCAAGTATAGATTAGAATGTTTCAAATTTTTACAAGATATTATTATTATTTATTGTGAAATTTTGCCGCCCCCTGAAAAGTGCCGCCCGGGGCGGGCCGCCCCCACTACGGTACGCCACTGAAACAAACGAACATTACATTTTTATTTATATAGATAGATAAAAGATGATCTGCTTTAGTTCATCCTCACAGAAAAGCAAACTTAGGTCGTCGTACTCGTAGCGCCATCTGTTGGACATAAAAGCCTTAACCTAGATTATATCTTTTAATTTATATGAATGTTTAACGGAATAATATACAGCCTATGTCCACCCTGATGTTCCATTCTAAATATTGGTGAAAGAATTTTTGAAATCAGATGAGTAGTTTCGGAGATTACCCGCTACACCCAAACTTACAAACATTACCTCTTTATAATATTAGTATAGATTATATTCGTTGGTCACAGCTAAATCTAAATGCATAAATGATTCATAAGGTCGTCCTCGTCTTTAATATAGAAATGTTGCGAAGGCGACCAAAAATGGCACTTTGCTCTTCAAAAAGTACAGATTATTCCTTGATATATTATTGCTATGGAACTGTGTTTCGGGATTATTTGTACGCGTATCCATTCCTTCGTAATCAAATAAACGTTTTCGTTTTCTCCATCCGAATACAAGAAAAAAAATTTTTTTTACCATTTTCTGCGCTATAAATGCGTAAACGTGATACAGGGAAGCTACTGTGGTTTAATGCATTTCCTGTGGAGCAATAAGTCATATTACCGCGAAAAGCTTAAAAAATCAAAAACTAAACTCCTGAAGGACGGGCCACCTTTAGGTACGGGGCCCGTTGCCCGGCTCTAACGGCGGCACCGAACAAAGCCAAACATTTCCATTGATTCGAATGTAAAAGTGGCCGATATGCACACATTAGCAGATGCAGTGCCAGCAATTCAGGGGTTTCTCCTATAGCGTGATGTAAAAATCGATGGTTAACTCGAAGAGTTATATCTTGATTTATTAACGTAAAAACCGGTTGAAAACACAGTAGAGCCTCGATTATCCGACCTAATTGGGGACTGGGGTTGGTCGGATAATTGAAAGGGCGGATAACCGAAAAGTATGAAAAAATCTATTATTAGTGTAATATATTATTATATCCCATGTAATTAGTATATTATTATATCGCTATTAACCTACTTTGCGTTGAATTTTCATCGATGTTAAGCCTAACAAAATTTTTTTAAAATAATAATCGTCGCTATTGTATCGTTAAAAATTAGAAAGTTAAGCCTCGTTTAAATACTGGCTCCCTTTCATGGTCGATCCAGTGTTGCCAGCTAAAACACGTAAAAATAATATTAAAGTAGCCAAGACATAGCCAAATATTGTAGCGCCACATCAATAGCTGACATTTGAAATTTGCCGACTAGGACGGTCGGTTAACCGAGGGGTCGGTTGATAGGGGGTCGGATAATCGAGGCTCTACTGCAGTTCGGAACAATTTAAAAGGTACTGTAATAATTTTATGTGACTTGGAAATAATTTGATGCCAAATCAAATCAAAGACTTTATTACAGAGACAATTCTTTATAACTACACTTATATCATTCAACAAACTATTTTCGTACGAAAATTTACAATTTCTAGAACAGAACCAAGACCAAAGCATTGCAGAGAACGTCTTCTTGTATGACTTTAGTTGAATCAAATTATTTCGCAATTGTCTCGGGTTTTTGAGTTCTCCAAATGCATTTTCATCATAAATCTTCACCATCCTGGAAGCGACAAACAATACTTAACTACATTTATTCAAGTTTGTAATTTCCTATTAATAATTATACTTACGGTTTCGTTTAACGCAATTTTCATCTGGAAACTTTCGTTCTTCACGAAGAATTTTACAAAGATTTCTTCTGTTTTGTGTATTAAAACTTCGTCTTTTCGTGTTTTTCACGTTCAACGGACTGTCGTTGAATTTAGACGACGTCATAAGCAATGAACACAATTTGAGAAAATTCAAATTCCAATAAAAACAATTCTGGAGAGTCCAAGTTCCAGGGATGACACAAATTGGGAGTCAAATTTGAGCACAGACACAAGCCGGAAGAGTCCAAATTCGAGTGCAGACGCGTGTCGGGAGTCAAATTCGAGGGTAGACGTAATTCGGGAGAGTCCAAATTCGAGTGCAGACACGTTTCAGGAGTCAAATTCCGGGTAGACGTAATTCGTGAGGTAGACATAAATCGAGAGTCCAAATTCGTGTAGACCAATTTGGAAAAATGATAATTCACTAAAAGTCAATAATAATGAGACACAGCCGGGACAAAGTCAAAATTGGGAAGTCATAATCGAAATTGGTATTGACGCAATCGGGATGTCAAAATCAGGATTAGGATTCGATGATTTTCAGTTAAAACCATATCTAAAAGTGAATGAAAAACCAATATTTTAATTTTTACTTATAAATTGAAAATTATTTTTGTAATTTTAAAACTACTTTTTATAAGAATTTTAAATTTTATTTATTCATTTTTAAACTATGATATATAAAGTTTTCTGTTATTTTTTGAATATTTTTAAATGTACAACGAACGACGAAAACAAATAAATATTAAATTAAAACAAAATTAAGAATAAATACGATTATATACAAAGAAATTAAAGGAAAATACAATTAAAAACGAATAAATAACAGAGAAATAAAACGAAAAAAACTATGTACAGAATATAGAGATGAAAATCTCTGAATTTTTTCCGAATTCTGTGAAAATAAAAACATAATAATCAAGATTTTCCTACAAAATATTCAAGTATTAAATTAATTTTTACATCAATAACTTTATTTCCTTCTAAAATGGAAATAAAATTACGTGCCAAATGCTATTGCTTACCGCAATTAATTGCATACTGCCACGTGTCATGTATGTATCAAATGTGTCATTGTTAATTCGATTATTTTAGCATGTTCCCGTCCTCGTAATCACGTAAGATTACTGGATAATTTAATTTCTACATTCATTTATACTATTGCTTTCGCTGTGTTCCAGGATGTATTATTGTGAGTACTTGGACAAGAATACACAGGCTATGTATGCCCCATATCCTAAAAACGTGGGTTTTCTGTAGATACGCTCTCAATCGCATCAAAATATAACACGTTTCCACGCTAATGCCGTGCATAAATATTTCCAGTTTTTCTGTTGTCCGGCCATCAATTGCGGGTTATTATGAAATCGTGATCAGAAACTGTGTCAATTTATAAACCGAGACCGTAAAATCTCCCAAGTGTTTGGTGTAGAATACAATAAAGTTGCCATAG